CTTGTATTCCATTTCACCTTCTCTTCCTCAGCAAATGAACTTCAGCCAAGCTAATTGTACAGCTGGATGCCATGCTGGATGCAGGAAGATGCAGGGGGGTGGGGGAAGAGCTGGCACCGCCTGTGTTCAGTGCTTCTCCTTCTGTTGTCTCTTTCAAAAGAGAGCCTCCAATCAGTAAGATCACACCACCTCCAGGCTACGCTTGGCACAAATTCAAGCATTTTGCGGCCTGGTCAGAAGGCCAGTTTTCCATCTTCTTTCTCCACATCCTGCAGTCCTGAAATGAAGCACCTTCCCTACAACCAACGTGTAACACAACTTTAGCTCAACTCATCTTTCCCACATTGAACCAGGATGTGATCACTGCATTTCTGTGATGCAGTCTCACAGCCTTATCAGCTTTTGGGCCCTGGAAGGCCTTCATCCTCCCTCCCTCAAAAGGATGGAAAATAAAAAAATCCTGTATTTTGATGATGATTAAATACAAATTTCTGATACTGCATAAATAATTTTGATATTTATCATAGAATCATAGAATAGTTTGGGTTGGAAGGGACCTTTAAAGGTCATCTAGTCCAGCCCCCCCGTCCAACCTGACCTGGAATGTTTCCAGGGGTGGGGCATCCACCACCTCTCTGGGCAACCTGTTCCAGTCAATAAACAGGTCTTTCTCACTGTCACTTTTTTCCACCTTCTTTAATTTTGCTGCTTTTTAGAGTTTAATTGCAGTTAATTTCTTTTTAAAAAAAGCACATGGCAGCAGGCTGCTTTGTTCATGTGTCCAAAAGGTTTTGGTTTTTTTTCCCCAGTTGGTGCTTTTTATTTTACATTTTAAATGTTTTTTGAAAGGTAGAACTGCATTTCCTTGTAGGGCATATTTAGAATTTATCCATGTTATCAGAGTTGTGGGCACGTGTCAATTTCAACAGGGAGAAAAAAGACCCAGCTTTTGCCTCAAGATCATATGGATTTACTCTAACGTTGCAGAGTAAATTTTCTTTCTGCATCCTTCTAAGCCTTATTTAAAAAAAGAAAATGCTGTCACATGAAACTTGGTTACATCAGGCTCAGACACCAAATTGCCACCGGTCAACATGATGAAAATGTCCTATGTGAGGATTGATTACCTTTTGCATACTGCAGCATGAGAGTGCAAGCAGTTTATCGTGCAGTAACTTGTGGATCAACACCCTTGTGTGCTGCTGGCAGAGGCTTTTTTTTTCTTTTTCCTTCTGACTAACATACTGCATGAAGCTTCTGTTCTCTAGTATTGACCCAGCAGTGGGTGGCAGTGGCAGCATCGTCTCTCGGGTGTGCTGCCTCAGATGTCTGTTTTGCTTCACAGCATTTTGTTTTCTAGTGAGGCCAAACGTCAAGTCCCTTTAAAACCACTGGTGTTTTCCATGTGGCTTTAAGGCTGTATCTGTTCACTCTTAATTGCAGGGTTAGAATGTAAGCCAAGGAAAGGAGGATGTCGGCTTATGAATTTCCGTAATGCCCACCACAGGCTTGCCACAGTTTTACAATGAACATTGCAGTTTGCAAGGTGGCCATAATGTACAGGAATCACTGGTGTGTGTTTCACAACTAGAACATGGAGAGGCTTGCTGTTTGTTGCTGACTCTTCAGTTTTCAGGGGATGAGTTTTGGTTTTTTGAGTTTCTGATGTCTGTTTTCTCATTCTACAGAACTACCTTCGTGTTGCATTCCAGGAAGTTAACAGTGGATGTACAGGAAAGACCTTACTAGTAAGACCATATATCACTACCGAAGATGTATGTCAGCTTTGTGCTGAAAAGTTTAAAGTGGACAATCCAGAAGAATATAGCCTGTTTCTTTTTGTTGATGACACCTGGCAGCAGCTGACAGAGGATACTTACCCTCAGAAAATTAAGGCAGAGTTGCACAGCCGTCCGCAACCCCAGGTCTTTCACTTTGTCTACAAGCGCATTAACAGTGATCCGTATGGTGCCATTTTTCAAAACAATGATGACTCAGCTTCTTAAAACCAGCAACTCATCATTTAATTTCTGTTCCTTGTTAACTATTGAAAACATCTTTGCTGGCTGCCTCCTTTAGGAGCTAAAACAGGTCTTAAACCATAAAGCCTAGTAAAACACGTGTAGACACCTCTAGCATTGCTTACAAAAACCCATGTAAACCATGCATATGGCCAGTTATGCGGGATATTCCACCAGCGTGTTTGAATAAACAGCCCATGAGGCTGAATTTCTTGTACCACAGACTCTTTTGAAGCATATTACGGTGGCCCTCTGCAGGTCTTTTGCTGTAGTGTGCAAAAATCTATTTTCTTACACTCATCCTTTAGCCAAATGTCATTCTGATTTAAATATATGTATGCTAGACAAGTATTTCAGTAAACTGGCTGGTATGAGCTCAGTTTCACCAGCATGAGTTTGACAAGACTGTCCGATGCAGGGCATCAGTTAACTCACAATTACCTGGATGATTGCATCCTTTCCTAATTTTTTTTTAATTACAGAAAAATCGCTGGGTTTTTATATATATATATCATAGAAATTTTATAGCAGTTGCAGGTAAACTGTCAGGGTTGTTTTTTAAATATTTTTTTAACTATAAAGTATTCTATAATTATGCATGTGATTTTAACATTTAATATACAAGAATAAATCTCTTGCTGGTTTTAGAGTATTGCATTAAAAGTCTCTGTGGTTTCTCTTTTCCTGTTACAGGGGAGTTTTTATGAAACTTCTGTTATCTGTGAGAAGATTGTAACATTGGTACTGGCAATTTCAGTGCCTTTATCTGAACTTGATGTACTGTTATCTGGATTATTGTTTATATGCATTGTTTTAGACAGAACTAGGGGGTTGGAAGAGGAAATTGAAAGAAAAGGATGTAGAGAAGGGGCAGAGAAAGAATGCAGCGAACCTAATTTAGGATTAAAATGCGTTAGTCTGCTGGTTCAGGCTCCTTGCCGAAAATAAGCAAAGGAGGTTGGTAGGGAACTTTTATGTAAGCGGTATTGTAGATTTGCAGAGGGATTTGACAGCACCTATCCCAGATACTATTTGTGTTAGCAGAGGATTAAATATATCAGTAAGGTGAAGGAGAACACTAACTATTTTGTATAGTCTGTCACCAACATCAAAATGTGTCTTGGACTGAAGAATGTGTTGTAGCATTTAATGGTTCTAAGTTACTCAGGTGAGATGTGAAAGGCAGTCCTACATATGCAAAGATAAAATGGTGTTAAACGTGTGTGTTCTATAGATTTGTCCAAGATAGCTGATGCCGTGGGTGATGCTCTGGACTCTACTTAAGTCAATTAGGGCTACTCTCTTTAGAGGGACTCTTGGGGTTCTCCCCAAGTCTAGTGTGAGCAGTGTAACGTAAGGCAGATTATTACAAAAATGTCATGAGCAGCATGTGTATTGTACATACAGAGATATGTAGCATTTTTGTCAGTTTGCCATGTATCTGAAACCCCTCGCACATGTTTGTATTTCATTTTGTAAATGGTGAGTTTTGCACATAATAATACATTGTAATACTGAACTATAATTTGGGATGTTGTGTGCTGTGGTTTTTGTGGTTTTTTTTTTTTTTTAAGAAATGGTTCACACCTAAATGTTTTGTGTATCAGTAGACTCTGATGATGATGCTTTTCATACTGCTCGGCCCACTTTAAACTCTTTGCAAAGGAAGGATGCAGTAAGATTATTATCTAGTTAATGTGCTTGACCTGAACAGTCAGTAGAAGCAGCAGGCAGGTATCTTGCCTGCTGTGAACCACTTTGCAAAGTTAAGACTGACATTCAGTGCTAAAGAAAATTCCACTATTTTCATATGATGGCAGCTCTGCTAGAGGAGGGAAGGACTGGGGCAGAGAGGCAAAGTATCAAGAAACTCAGAATTTCAGGCGTGAAACGAAGGAAAGCAAAGAGTTCAAAAAGGGAAACGCATGCCCAAACCACCTCAAGATGATTTATCTATTCTTGTGCAATTGTTTCTTTTGAAAATTGGAACATTTTATTCACTGTGCTGTGCAAAACACTTCTCACTTCTCATAATGCCAGGAAACAGATGATACAAAAACTTTGGCAGGAATTTGGATTTGTAAAAATAAGCTATTACGTCTTCTCCAATGTGAGGTGTTGGAGGTTATGAAATACTGAAGAGCAAGAAAAAGCTTATAGTTGAGGTGGTCTCTTTATTTATTACTCTCTTTTTTTGAAATAGAGAAGTAACTGGAAAGGCTAAAGGAAAGAAAGCTTGGAGGTATTAAATCCCTAAAACTTACTAATAAAAGAGGCTTAACAGAAAATCTAATACTACATTAGGGGATTGTTTGTGAATTCACAAAAAGTACATACTGCAAAATCATAAAATGCCACCTGCAGCAGCTTAAATCATATCTTAACTTCTTGTCATTTCCCCATGTTTCTTTTCTTACTTTTCATCTTAAAGGCTGTTATCCTTCCTTGCTGTCTCAGCCTTCCAGGCAAGTCTTAAGTTCAGTGGATTGTTCTTTCTCTGCTGGAGTTGCAGCATCACAAATGGAGTGAGGAGTCATTACCGGGGGTGGTGGTGTGTATTTCTGTTATTCCAGAAAACTAAGAGTGCACAAAGCCTGCTGTGTGTAAACTGGCAGATAGATTAGCCTGATTTAAAAAAAAAAAAAAAAAAAAATTCTGTGCTGCCCTTGTAGCTCTTGCCAGGATTGCGGAAATACAGGTGGGGGGTAAGGGAAAGTAACCCAAATCAAGCTGCTAAAGCAGAGAGAACGCTGTATTTTTCGTAGAATACTGTTTGTTAGAGAGTTTTCTGAGACCGCCCTTTTTAGACGGAAAGATAAAGCTAAAGGAACCCAGGTTTCAGCCTCTGCTGCCGGCCGTGGTTCTCGGGGGCTGCGTGTGTGCGCGTCCCGGGGCTCACCACGGGGCTGTCGTTGGGCGCTGCAGAAGCTCTCCCTGCCCCCCGGAGCCAGGCTCCGAGCGCCTCCCGGCACTGCAGCCCTGCCGGCCCGGCCACACCGCTCCTCCCTCCACCGCAGGTGGGCTCAGCCTTGCTCAATCCCTCTCCCCTGTTCTCTGTCCTACTTTTTCTGTCTCCATATGTCCCACTGCCTGTCCCCATCTTTATCTTGCCTTCCTTCTTCCTCTCCTTTTCCTTTGTCTGTCGTTTTGTCCTGCTCCCTGACCCTATTTCTTCCTCCATCTCACCGTCCTTTCCCCTGTACCTTTCTGTCTCTGCTCCTCAGTCCTTCTCCCTCGTCTTACTTTTACCTTTATAACCCTCTGTCTGCTCCCCATCCCTCTCTTTCTCCATCCACCTCTGCTGCTCCTTGCCCCTGTCTTTCTCCCCCACCCCGGACATTATCTCTCGCTGTTCTTGTCTCCCTCTTTGTCCCTCTATCCCTCTGTCCTTCTTGTGTCTCTACCACTCTGTCCTGCTCGCTGCCCCTCTTTTCCTCATTCAGTCCCAGTGTCCCGCTCCCTGATGCT